CTAAGGCAGCTCCCGTTGCGTATCCAGTGGCTTCAAAAGAATTGACTGATGATGTCCGCCAACTGGTGGCTGGAAGCCTGCTGGTGGTCATCGAGCCGGAAGCAAACGAAACAAGCGAACTGGACGACCATTTGAGTAGCAACGAAAAGCGACGGCTTCGAAGGTGAGAAAGACAGGAGACTTGTGTTAAGGATGTGGAAGAAAAAGCGGTACTTAAATAATCGTGTTGATTAGTTATTTAGAAAATTGACACGTGTGGCATGTGCTTCTGCAACGCCTCAAACACAAATACTCATTTGCACATAGGGATCATTTCGGGACGGCACCGTTGCCACTGATAAGTCCGTGTATGGGAAATACCATTTTTGAGTGCTCTGTCCTCATTCTCTGGTTACTTCAATACATGAATGCAGACTTCCACCCAACTACCTGCGAGTAGTATAGTGCGAATGTTCATGCTCATCACAGTCGTTGTTAGTACTGCGTTCTGGTTTTGGGTTGCAATAGACTAATGATAAACTAAAGATGTAGGAAACAGGACAAATATGATCGTTACATTAATTTGTATATGGTCAGTTGATCTTAAAACGGCAGAAGAGAAGAGTGTCAATCTGAACAGCTACGTTAGGTTCAATGATAAGGTCAGTCCGCCTGACCCTCAATGTAACTCAGCTCAAAACGTCGGTGAAGGCAGTTAAATTTCCGAGACGCTGGAACCGTTATATCGGTCCACAACCTCTTTCATTTTTAAGATTTTTCCGGCCTTGACAGTTAGGCGTTCTTGTGTAGTCCTTAACTCTAATCTAAACATTTTACCGGGGCATATAGATATTTCAACAGTGTAAGATTGTAATTTTCAAAAAGTACATCGTACTCAATTTCCGACCAGTATAGTCCTTACTAGTACGAGTTATGTACAAAGATGATTCAATCACCAAGTAGATGTAAGAAGACCATTTGAAAAGATCGATAAAATTTTACTGAGTACCATATTTGATGTCCGTTTTTAATTATTAAATATGAACTCATAATTGATAAACGTGATAATTATTGCCAGTATATGACTACCCGGTCTTACGCCCTCAACAGTGAACTTGTAAATGAATGGACAACAAATAACTGTATCCCGTTGAAATCAGTCTATTCCCCGTTGTAGTTGCATTAAGAAGAACTACCTGAAATTGATAAAGCAAGCAATATATATTAAGGGACAACTTTAGACGGATATTTATGCCGACAGACCAGGCAATTGCTGTAAAGAAAGTGGTCATACCGTGCGTTCATTTTTTAATCAACGTTTCACAAAGTGACTTAATGATTATAATCAAAAAAGTGTCCACTGTAAAGAGATTCATCCCACAATTTCACTCAGTTGTTTAGAGAGTTTGTTATCACTCCACAGTACGAATGGGAGGTTCTATCAAATGGGAAGATAATGCAGATGAATTGGTAGCGTAACCGTAGATGGTTTGTTTAAACATATTTTTAATGTATATTGCGAAGAAGATTCATGATGAGCGCGACAACTTTTAAGCGTAAATTACCAAGTGAACATTACAGAAGTCTTTCGGACTGTCTACAACATTTGTAATGTGTAGCGAACAAGCTTGTTTTAAGTATTTCACAAGGGAAGCATTAAGGGGGTAAACCTCCGTTTTCCACGGCTACACTGGAACTTTTTATGCGATTTGAAGCTTGTAAAATCGGTTAACGCAATTTGTAGAAATCTTTCTTCTCAACTGATTGTATCCTTTTCTGTTTGGACAGAGCTGATTGATTAGCACGTTTTCTTCGTCGTGGTAGCTAACTTTGAATGATCTAGCGTGTACTTGTCTACAATGTTATTTAATAGTTATACTATTTTCCTGTTCAAACTATCAACCGAGATCGGGCATGTAAACCACCTAGTTTGGGATGTCTGTATGTGTAGTACTGTCTGAAACAAGAAATGATTCTGGTGTTCGGTAACTTGCTAAACGTCCCAGTTGTTCATCAGTCATTTTACGGTTTCTATACGCTGGGCGACGTACACGCAATCCTTGTGTGATCACTCAGTTGCGTGTTGGGTATATATATTCACACACTACTGTATAAGTTGCTTCGATTGGGTTTAATATACTACTTGTGTGAAATGAGATTATCTCACTAACATTGGCCTTTTTCGTTAAACATGTGCCCGTGTCTTTCAACTTCCTATATTGTCTTATACATTTGCATATGGATATTTTTGGCATGTCTGCTGGACGCAGTCAACTTTAACCCTGATCCATATCTGATGTTATTTTATTCGGACGCTATGGTACGGCGCTTTAGTTTTTTCTTCAACTGTTTGTTGGTTCCGATCTAAACGTTCAGCCTAGTGATGTTGTGAACTGTCGCGTACATATGTGCAGATAAATACAACACATATGCACCAATGTAATGAACTTGGGTGCAGAATTCACTGCTCAAGATGCACCCGAGAGCCAGTAGCCCTGCCTTAATCCACGTTTGATCGTGTAGGTTAAAAAGCCATTTCTGGTTGGTCGGTTGCTTCTTGTTGCGTTTGAACACGATTTACAGCTCTAACGCAATGTCGTGCCTTTCTCGTTATAACCTCCAGTACAGAAGTTACACCTATCACAATACGTTTTTTTTGTTTTGCCTCAAACTGGGTCTAGTCCTGACAGCAATAAAAGATTGTTTTTACTGCACAGACACAGGTACTTGATGTGTATACTTAAAATTTTGAGTCGAAATGCTATCGGGTGTATTATGCAAACTTGTCGGCCTCTTCCATCAATTCATCACAGCGTTACTACTACATTCTTGATATATTTGTTTGCCAGCAAAATAAGGTTTACTTTGAACACTTTATAGCAAAACGACAAATGTTATTGTAAACCACAAGCTCAGTAATCAACATAGAAGATTCATTTCTTTTTCGACACCTTCTGACGAACGAATTCGAGGAATTCTGTTTCGTTCAGTTGTCCATCTCTGTCCTCATCAAACTGTGCAATCCAGGATTTGACCACATCTACGGGTTCAGTAAACTCATCACCGGCGAAGATTGCATGCACTTCGTCAACGCTTAAGCGACCTGAATTGTCCACGTCAATTTCCTGAAACAACTGTATCCACCTGGAATATTTGTGAAGAGTGATTTATAATGATTAGATAGCACAACAGTTCTACAACATAAAGCTACGATCTGCAAAGAACGGTATATTAATGAGCACGTCATCTGATGTAAACAAAAAACAATACAATCCATAACTAATAAGCGTTTTTCAATGCACGACGACGTTTCGGCTTTGCTAAATGTCAATCAGCAATGGACGCCCAAAAACATCTATCAGCTACGTTCGGATAGGCCGTTCAACCTGAGTTCACGTCACCTATCTGTTCTAATTGCTTCGGAACCTACAGAAGAAATTATAAGCACGTTGAATGACGAAAAACATGTGCACATTTTCGCTTGAGGGTACGAGCAATTCGGTGATTCATTATCGATTTATGTGTTTGTACAAGTAAGTAAAAGCGTGTGAGTAAACAGTACCAAACGGGTGTAAAAAAGCCAATAGAAATTGAATGGAGTTAAACTGAATAGAAGTAAAGTGAAACTACTTGCATGCAATCAGATTACCAACCAACAAAGAAGTATACCGATATGATAATAATCTGTAGCAGTGGGTTAGGAAGATCGTAAAAAGGATTACAGAGCATGTTGTCAATCCGTTGTTTGCGGTCGAACAGAATTGTACAACTCACATCCGATTCAGAACTAGTCATACAAGTGAGTAGTGTTACGGTAATAACACAACATAACATTGGAGACGTTTCACTTATACAATAGTATGATCACTCCATACTTCACTTTATGCAAGTAGTCGAACAGATGTTCATCTGTGTTTAAGGTTAAGAGATGTGCTAGCCGATGATTTAATATGAAGAGTAGTTTGTCAGTGATGACGCGATGTCACTTGAGGTGTATGTTATGTGTTGAGGTCTGACTGGAAGTTGTTAGCCTTTCCACCTGAGAGATTTCTCTGTATCTCATAACTATCTTAGTGGCCTCTTTCTGACATAAGTTTTCCCGTCACAACACGTGAAAATATTCGTTTACACCTCCTAATGACTCCGCAGAGATATACGGTTTAATTGCAATGTCTTATATGAAGAATACCTGCTTACTTATTATTTTAAAACTTCCATATTTTCCTCCTGTTACTTTAACACTACAACACACACATCCAACAGACTGCACAGGAGTAATATAATTCGATCATTCATTGGCACCACAGTACTTCAGGAACCCTTGCTTGAACATGACCAGCGGGTTTGTATGCAACGACTAGCACCCACGGATGCCACACTGTATCTCATTAATGAGCTCACAATCTGCCACTCGAGTCCGGCGATGGTTTTCCAGTGAATCGTTTAGTATATTGAATGCCACCGGTAACAGTTCTACCGGTCGACATTTTGTTTGGTTTTCACTGCACTCATTTTAGACGGTAAGGACCGCTGTGAGCGTCTTCCAGGCTTTCAGCGCAAGGCCAGTTGGTAGTGAAAGAGTTTACAAACTACTTTCAGTGATTACGCTGACTCTGTAATGCGGCTTTTGAGCATTACCTGGGATATCTTCTCCAGATGATCGAGTTATTTACTGGTAGGTTCTCCAGCTTTGTTCTAACTTGTGACAGTTATAATTGAGACACTTCAACTATGTTGCCTTCTTATACACAAAAGCTGTATGTGAACTATGGTTATATAAGTACTTGTGGTTACCGGTGTATCGGTGGCCTCTAAGTTTGTATCGGAAGGTGCAGTGCAAGTGTGAAGCTGTGTTGCGACTTCTTTGTAGAAGAACACGAGGTGTAGGTTCAGCATTCGAGAAGAAGAACATTGACAACAAAATCGATCATGTCCTAAAGCAGCCGTGGTGAAAAAGCACCACGAATTGTAGTAAACAAATTTAAAATTGGATTTACAAGCGATCCATTTGCAAAAAGTCCGGACTTCGGCTGGATTCGAACCAGCGACAGAAACACCAGGCCCAAACGCGGCACGCGCTCTACCACCCGAGCTACAAAGTCACGCCGGAATGTCAGAAATCTCACATTTGGATTTAGTTACTCACCCAACCAACTGTGCCATATGGAATCCACCAAATGGTCCAGCCGACTGACTGACAAAGCAGGATTTCGCGATCAGTTCTGGGTTTCTGGCGTGGCTTCGTAGCTCAGTTGGTATTGCACTTGCCGCGTTTGGGCATGATATTTCTGTCGCTGGTTCGAATCCAGCCGAAATCCAGATTTTTCGCAAATGGATCTTCTCTAACTTATCAAATATGCCAAACTACTTATCAGTAAATTAAGATTTGATCGGTTCCAACTGATGTCTGTCCCTTGCTGAATGTTTTAACGTGGCCAAAAGTTTCATTGTTACTTAGGACTCTTATTTGTTTACTGGGTTTATAACACTTAATTACATCCTCCTGGCTAGCAGCATCCGGGACTTCCTCAACGATAGTTCGCTGGTGAATGTGAAGGTTGAGTGAGTGGGCTGGTTTTTTATCACTTGAAAAATCGTTCTGCACTCTACAATCAGCCATACATTGTGAGAAGTACACTGTCTAGTTTGGAATAATTAGCTAGCTACTGTTGCCCAATGATTACTGTGACCAAGTGTAAACATGTTTACTGGAAAAGTGATCAGCTTGATATCACAAGCAAAACTACATACATGACAACGCCACTGAGTTGCTCATCACTTGCCATGATCATAGACTTGTGAAAATAAACGTAACAGTTACTGCCGTAAAGGATTCTATGACTAGAGAAGAATAGTTCTGGTGATTGAAATCTGCCACTATCATAGTGTATTTGGCTGTGTCAGTTTTCTCAGGTTTACAACGTGATTTAAGTATTTCACTAATCAGTAAGGAGAATTAGTATGTAAATGCGAAGATGTATTAAATTAAAGAGGAGCTAAAAGCTCACAGTCATGAGCCCTCACAGTCTTTAGGTGTGAGACCAGACTATTTGTACTGAATTTCCTTTCACCAAGAAACGCCATTAAATGCGAGCTTGATGATTCACAGTCCTGCATATTTTTCCCATACGATGTCCACTATAAAGAACATTTTCTGAGTGCACAGATTTCAAAGCTTTCCTAGTTCGTCAAAAAACGAGATTTTAGCAGGATGGCTACATAGGAACTTCAAAGCCATTTAGTGTACTAGCGTTTCTTCCACTTTGGGCTAAACCTATAACACGATCTAAATGTTGTCCTGCATTCATTTTTGAAACGATCCTCATCACCGACCAACAGAAGGACGTTAATCTCATGATTAACACGTACGTTGTGATTTGTTCCCAAGACTAACCGACCAAAATCGCTGTTCAATTTGTAAGAAGATGAAGATGAACATACTGCAGATTTTAATGGAGTTGAGGTTTCGGCGTCACATGCAGCGGATTTTAGTGACAGGGAGTTCAAATAACGAGTGAACATAACTAACACTGTTGTGAGCAGCCACAATTAAATATCTTGGACAGGTTTGAGAAAGATCTCATTGAAAAAGGAAGGGCAGTACACTTCAGGAGAAAGGAGCACTACCGCTCGAAATATATACCAGAAGTAGTAATGCGTGCACCGTTGAGCGAACTTTCACGTTGTCGCAGTATACTAACTACTTCGTTATCATTCGTCAGATCTCGAGCTTCAGATACTAACACCACTGAAAAAATACAAGAAATAACAAATGCCAACACATTGTCCGGCAAGCGGCACAATTTAGTCCTCTTCGATAAAGAATAGAAGGTTCAGATGGTTGATAAAACTGATGACAAGATTTGTATGTACATTCCGATAACTGTAATAAAAACGCGCATGATTTTAGTGGTATGACGATGATTACCTTGCTTTTACACAGGAATTTGGAAGTGATGACCTTATAGAGGAAACAGACTTCTCCTCCACATACTTTCAGTTCGGTTACTTCCATCTATGAGTCAGTGTAACGATGGACTTGTAGTGTTTCGAAACAAGCAACAGCGGAATGTGTGGTGATCAGCAATCAAAACAGCAACTAACAAGCAAACAAATTTGTTCAAAATCTCGACCATATTCGAGCCGCTGTGTCGAACATCGTGCGGGTCTTTGGAATTATTGTCCAAATTTGTGTTGCGTCAGTCGACTTTCCGGTCGGCGGATCGACTGCCAAAAGACGTCCTACAAGTGTGGGTTGCTCCAAGTGAGAGGAAATATGAGAGCTCCAAAACTTCCCAACGGTCCTTAAAAACAAGTCCCAGATTTTTTTCTCATCTCTCCTGCACTATTGATGAAGTGTGTGAATGAATTATCCGGACCACTCTGTGGACTGCATACTGAATTAACAAAACCTGGATAATGTACACAATAACGATCACCGTTACTGGTGATGATCGCAGGTCCATTGCCTTACTGTCAACTGTCTTAATGATCACAGAGTGCTTGATTGACGATCGGTCACTCGAGTGTTTAATTCAAGTCGCATTATTGTCTGTTATATAACCTGATTTCCGAAAAGACTGATCAACTCTTGCTAACCCGCTTGCTGCCCTGGAAGACTAAGTGAGTGCACCTAATGGTTGCAAACTATGTGGTATTGTCCTTCCAGCATTTTCTGACTTCCGATCAAGTGAACCAGTTCATACAAAGTGTTGGTAAGGCATAGAGAACCCACTGTTACCGCGGTCAACCGACTAGTTCCAAAGCTACCAGTTTGACGTCAAAGTGAACAGAGCATTTTCAGTTTGTTTTCGTGCGACCAGCGATGGGTCACGTGGTTCCGTATCATGATTTTTGTTCTTTATTACATTTCCTTCTAATACTGATTACTGATGTGTGCTGATATCGCAAAAATTTGGCGTATAGTGGGAATATGAAAGTGGGAAGCTGAACAGTGACTGAAGCGTGTAACACTACTGAGTGGAAGAAAATAGACTCCTGTATGATCCGGCTGTCAGTGGAGTGATTCACCTGTATTCGGGATGAACGGTTTATTTCCGGCGAAACAAACAACTGGACACCACCGCTGGCAGGCATCAATTGGGCTCGATGGTCTCAAGTAATTTTGACCTGCTTCTCAAAACTGCGTCACCAAGCAAGAAATCCAACTTGGTGTTCCGAGTGTTCACCGGGCCGGTTGGGTGATAAAACTCAAACCTCGCCTCGCTAGTTTGTCCCCATTCGACATTAAGCAAAATTATGCGTGTTCACAGATTCATGGCTCGGTAAAAGATTTCCCAATATTACTCAATTACATGTGAGTAGTGTAAAAGGTGGCGATGTCACAGTACTGATTCTCGTTCACGTGAGACCGACAAGGGATCCGGCCATATCAAACTGCAATCTCACGAGAGTTTGCGCTTGTGTTCCACATGCTCACTTTTGAACTGTTAATTGGACGGCTGCGTTCGCTACGGGAGGTTCTTCTATTTACACCGAAGTCAAGTTTCTCCTGTCGGCCACTTTTGTCAGAGCCTTTGAGGGTTTTTCATTTATTTACCGTCTTTTGAATAGGCGCCACCAACTCTTGAAAACAACAACATTCGATTTATCAGCACCCGGAAAATTTTATCTGTAGCGACTAGGCACTATAACTACCAAAAGTTGTTTCTATCGTGCAAACACTGCACCAGTTTTTGTGTGATGCATATACCTGATCAACCTTGAACTTGGAGTAATCACATACACAACGTGTACGTAGTTCATGTGCATATGCATGCAGTATCAAAAACCAGACGATACCAGATAGATGTAAACAACCTGACACGCGATCTTAATCGGGACATCTGTCTGATAGTTTAGTTTATCTTTAGTTTACTCGCTTGAATAATTGGATAAAGTTCGCGGACTGATATTGTGACCAACTCTTACGTGTGCGTCGCACCGGTGAGCTGTCCCTTGCAGGATGGGTTATCTCTGTAAGCGAATACTGAGGTCCTGACTGAGGCTAGCCAATGTTGGACTTGACCGTTGTCTTTTCGAAGGACAACTGAAACTGAAGATCCTCAGTCGCCCAAGCTACGACCGGCAAAAGTAACATATATAAAAAGTAGACTGTTTTGGTCGCACTAGCAGTAAAGTGTTCTTTATGATATGGAAAAGGTAAATTATTGTCTTTAAATGACAGGGTATACTTAGTGAATTAGAGTCAAAATGGAAAATCTGCAGAACGTACTTCGTAGTCTCACAACACTTAGGACAGAACTAAAAATAACCCAAACGGAATAGCAGATAAGAGATAAGAGGTACAAAGTGTATGCACAAACTAAGTGGGCATTGAGGACATGAATTTGGAGATGGGAACCAAAAAATCGGACTCTTTACATTTCCTGAAATTAGTTTCTGGATAATCGAGCGATGGAGAGCTTCACACAGGAACCACTTGACCTATCAAATTTCGGACATTTTACTAGTCGAAAGTCTGCTACTGTGGGAATGGACATATCGTGAGATATCACTAACTGCATATCAAAAATGCAATTCACATAATAACAAGTTATGTGTTTGTTCAAGAACCAGGAACGTGAGGAGGCCGTCGTTAGGGAGACTAGTATTATAAACCGTGGTGAGTGACTTGTCGGTAAAAACTTATTTGTTCCATAAAGCTTGTTGGATTTATTCGGTTCATGAATAGCTTCGTGTTTTCTCCGATCTTCAACATGACCTATTGTCTGATGCAAAGGAGTTCCATCACAAATTGACAAGAACCAAGAGAGAAAGTTGAAGAAATTAATCAGTTTTCTAAAGAAGTAATCAGCACCCCATTCGCATCTATGTCTTCTGACTGGCGGCCCAAGCGTGGATGAAGCGCTGACTTCCTCCTGAATAAGGATCTATCTTTTAACAGCAGGCCTCTCAGGCTATTAACCTTGAGTGAGCCACCTACGAGTACGAAAGCTTTATGGACTCCTGATAGAAAGGGAACTAAATAGCTTCAATCCTAGCCATAGTAGAGGACATTTACTAAACAGATTCTCATAAGTGGTAAACAAACGATGGCGCCGTAATTTTCTACCGGAAGTACGTTGGTAACATTTTTGTT